TTTGTTTGGGTAGAAGCTTTTCTAACCATCTCTGCGTGTAAGCGATGACTGCTATTATGGCGCGGAGGCCACATGTTTCTATCAAAGCCAGAGTAGACCTTTATAAGTGAAAAAATGTTTATTAACACATCAAGTCCTAACAAGAAGCTAGCTTGAGGGAGCTTTAACTGTAATGTTAATGTATGGTTCAGTTTCAACTGTTTCCCCCACCCCCCTGGATTGCATAGGTTGGTTCAACTCAAGTGTTGATGTGTAGGTTATTAAGACTTGTAAACAATTTATGTTCACCACAGTTTAAACAACTGCGGCTTTTAAATTTTAGAGATAATTCTTGTCTTACTAGTCAGTTAGAAATTGTAGAGAATTTTTTCTAAGAAATAGGCAATCTTCTCTACGGTAAACCGAGAAACAGCGTACTTTGCAAGAACAACGAAAAGTTTAATTTTTTATTTTCGCTACCTCGGTACCCCCGGTACAAGACTGCTTCAAACGGTTCCCGGGGTTGCCTGGGGGGATGGTTACAGGTGGAATTGAACCATACATACAATGTAAATTTGAGCCTGATTTGTTTAATACTTGTTGAGTGATCTGGATTTGAAAAGGTAAATTTTCACAAAGAATGTATGGGATTATTAGGGGTTTTGCCACAGTTTTTGGAAGCTAATACCTCCTTAATATCGCACGAAAATAGCTTTCAGAGTCTAGAGTGAGTTTGTCGCGTCGCCTTCTCCAAGCAAAGCTGTATGCTCAATGACGAAAAATGTAAACAATGACGTCAGCACCAATCTGCCTATACTTTAGATGTACCTGACTGGCCGATTCACTTTCTTCTACATGTATGTCATCATTCATTGCACTTGAGAAATCTGCGTCATCATCAAAGCTGGAGATATCTTTATAATCATCAACCTGGTCGCAACCTGTCAATGTTAAAGGGACACTATCATGGCTGATCATAGAAATCTCTATTTTCTTATTTCCACATTATATTGCCAAATGCCACCAAATATACATTCAAATAAATTAAAAGATCCCAATAAAATTTATCCAGCCTTCATTTTGTTTCAGTTTTTGCTGCAGAAATGTGAAGTTGAAAAGAGTTCAAAGCAATTTCGTGCAAGAGCAAGATCAAGATCTGGAACTTCGTCCCTCTTACCTGACTGTAGCTCCACTCCCAAGACATCCAAGACATCCGCTGATTGAAATCGCCGACCTGGACTCTCCACATGCATTGGTGAGTCTACAGATGAAACAGACTCTGATTTAAATGGGTTTCCCGCTTTAAAAGGATAAGCTGGTGTTGAACAACTCATTCCCTTAAATCCTGGATCCACAAGTGAGTTTTCCGCCATTGCAAACGGGCGAGACCACGATAGCAAACACACGAAGAGACTTTGGATGAAAAACAACGGAGGGCGATGAGACGCAGTCACGCAAATCATGAAAATATCGCCATTAAACACATATATCCGTGAAGTTCGTCTTGGTTTACCGCTGCCACCAGTGTGATGCCATGATTCCCAGTTAAAACACGGCGTTAAGAGAACAACACATGTTTAATCTGCTACTCAACTAGTCTTACAATCATTTCCTCGCACATGGTTATTACGCCATCTCACGTGACTTACTTAGAGGGGTACCCGCGGGGTTTGCCTCGCGCCACAGTATTTTACTAATGAAACCGCACATTGAGAATTTATTTACATCTGTCCTACGAAACAAAAATTGCCTCAACGACGCAGCCGGAAAAGACGACGTGATCTATAAATCAACCCTATAGTTTTCTATCAGCCAAAAAAACGCAAACAAAAATACCGCTTGGGAGATTGCAATAAATACCTTTTGCTTTACTTTTGGTGAAGACGTTTAAGACAATTGTTTTTTTATTTTTTATATAAAAAAACGATTCAACATTTCATGTTACTCAAATTTATCTTAAAATGTTCCCTGCCGACGTAAACGTTCTGCTTTTCCATTTATTTTAACCCCAAAATATACATTTATTTGCGTTGTAGTCTTTCCAGTCTAGCTGCACACGCGGTTTCCAAGAGAAAATTATGAAAAACAAATCGATTGCTTGCTGCTTGTCACGCGTTACAGGGTTAAAAATATGTCACATGCTAGGCAACGGATCTGTGCTCAGTGGAGCAGAACAATATTTTAGTAGAAATCTTAGCGAAGTAAGCATTTGTTTGAATGAATATCGACGAGATCTTCTAATCTCCCCCCTCTGGGATATCAGCAGAGGACCTTAATCATTTCAGTACAATTCAGACAATTGATCATCTTTTTTGTATCTTCAGTTTTTCTCTGGTCGCCAACTTGGCAACTATTTTCCGAATCAAGTGGCCAGTACCAAAATTTTAGTCGCCATGGCGCCTAAAGTGGTCGCATCTTTGAGGGTTGTTCTTGATGTTTCGTCGTTTAGGTTGCCAAACAACAAGGTGAGAACTTAACATTTTTGCTTTTGAAAACTCGTCTCTCCAAACATATTGAGATGAAGGGTTTCTGTTTTGGTGGACTTCAGACCAAACCTTGCCCCAAGATTATTGCTTACATATGATCGCTGACTTTCGCTGTTGAACAATATCTTCACTCTTGTACTAGCAGTCATTGTCGTCTGTCGGATTTGGAGTTGTAGACTCTGTTGCTGCTTTTAGAAATATTCAACTTTTTTGCTGTCTAAAATCAGGAGGTAATTTCCCCCATAACTTAGGCCCAAGATACTGTAAAGAATGCTCACCATATGTTACAGTATTATACTGAGGAATAGAGAAATCCGATTGTTATTAAGAATAAGAAGAATAATGATTATTGAAAAGAATACAGATATAAGTTGGACATGGTTTGTGCTTCACTTTGTACATGAGGATGCAAATATCCTCCAGGTGCCGTTCAGCAGTGTTGGTAATTCTGCCCTCTTAGAAGTAGGAGATAACTTGTATGCTTATCTTTATATACTGCCCTCATTCCCTTTTTTTTGCAGCCTTTCTAGTTTTTACACATCACGAGATCTACAAAAATGCTAGACCAAATGGCAATACGTAATGTACAGTAAACCTGCTGATTTGAATAATAGTAACTTAACTTCCTAAGTCGCATGAGGATGCCAATTCTTTGACTAGCTTTCTCACAAATTGTGCTAATGTGATCAGTAAAGATAAATTTGGAATCTATTGTAACATCTAAGAGTCTGAGATTTTCTACATTTTTTATTTCCTCATTGTTTCCATGAATTGCATGTGCCACACTGTTGATAGCCTGACTGTACCCAATGTTCATAGTTTGGTATTTTTTGAGGTTTCCAGCAAGAGGATTGGAGTCATACCACTCTGGGCTTGGATGAAACACTAGATTAATCAGATCCAATGCGATATATTTAGTGGTCGTCTGCATACATTGATAAGTTTCTCGATACCCAGTAAGACAGATCGTTCTGAAAGATATTCCACAGCAACGGGCTTAGGGTGGAGCCCTAGGGACAACCGCGGCTGACCGTTCTGCATGTGTTTACATGACCTCCTAAATTCACACAATATTTCCTGTCAGGTAGATAGCTATGTTTTAAATTGTTGCATGTGTTGTAGTACGCCTGGTTACATGACGCCCCTGAATCTATTAATACGCCATCTTGCTGTACTCCTCCAATGCTGAGTATGATTTCTCCAAGTGGCTCCTTGGCTACCTGGTAAGCCTTCCAGTTGTTTGCTGGATTGATTCCTTCCTTGCTATTAGGTGATGGCTTCTTGTTTTTTTTATCACAACAAGCTGCGAAGTGTCTATAGGCTCTACACTTCACAGTTGTTATTCCTAGCTAGGCAACATGAATCTCTTGCAAAATGGCCAAAACGATTGTAGTTGTAATTTCTAGAATGATTTGGACCAGGCTCTCGCATCTTACCGTTTTTTTCCTCGCTTTCTCCACTATGTGAATGTCCTCCTCCTTTGCTCTGGAAGTTGTGCAGTTTAACTGAGATCATATGATCCATGTTTTATACCAGTGGTTTATTCATAGACTTCAGTCAATCATCCATAGCTTCATGAGCTCTTGCAATGTCCTACAGGTCTGCTAAAGAGGCTTTGGTTTGCTCTAAAAACTTCCATCTGAGCCCTCTGTCCCAGCTTTTCATGATCATGTTGTCTTGGATCATTTCATCGATGTCCGTGAAGTACTGTACAGTAGTTTTAGTAGTCTACTATGTTGGAAATTAACCCCGTTGGTGCCTTCCCTTGCCTTCCGTGTGCCTTCCCTTAATTGATATGCATAAGCCTATGATGTCACCTCGGAAAGAAGTGTCTTCCTGCATACTAATTTGGATTAGGTTTACTAATGAGCGTCACTCTACTACAATAGGAACAATAGGCTTGTCTAGACTTGCCCGGGCTCTTTTAACCCTGATTGGATAGTAAACAATCTATTATGTGTTTAACATAAAAGCGGGCTCTCCGTTCAGCATTTTATTATTGTCACAAACTCCAGTAAATAATATATTTGAGCGGATAGCTTCCAAACATACTAGTCAACGGTCCGAAAACAGTAGTCGACTTAGAACTATTCACTGTGACCAAAGATAAATATTTTTATTCTACAAAACCATTGATTCTGTTTTGTCAATATAATTCAACCTTCAAACGTTTCTAGACTGTGGTATCGAGCGTTAACCATTAACAGGTTGGCCTTTTTCCTTTTAGACCTGTATCATACGAAACAAAACGAACGCAAGCGAACTGTATTTTATTATTCATCGCAAACTAATTTAATATACACTGAGCCAACATGAACACTTGTCGCATAAATTATCCACGGGAATCAACTCAATTATATATAAACAATAGCGTGAATGCGCTTGGGTGAACATCTTAAAAGCTTTTATTTCTTCGAATCTTACAAAGCAAAAATAGATTTATTGTAGTAACTCAACAACTTAAGAAAAAGGATTACAATATGGTGAGCAAATGATTAAAGCCTAGAAAGTGCCTCTCCCTCTAGCTCTTTCGATTGCTTTCGTTTCTTGAAGAAATGCTTGGACACTTGGTTCGTCTTCGTGTATATAAATCCACTTTCTTTTGCCGTTGGAATAATGTTTTATTTTGACGGGCCAGTAATTTTCAGATGCAAACATGACTGTGGGGGTATAAGGGTTAACAGCATTTCGAGTGCTCGTGTACATCTCGCAAAGGCCAAACCCTTCTGGAATAGCTTTGAGATAGGGCGCTCCATGTAAATAATTCTGCAAGGCGGACCAGGTCATCCCACACCAATCCAGATCAAACGGTTTCGGTTTACGCGTAGATGATTTAGCTTCACCATATTTCGGGGCACAATAAGATCCTTTGGGGGGATCGATTCCACCTCTCCCTCTGGTTTTAAGGTTTTGTTGATACTTGGGTAAACTCGACAAGAGCCAAAGATGTCGCTCAACACCTGCTTATTTGCCGCCGTGTCCGGTTTATTATCTACAAAGATGTAACCGTAAGGCCTCTCTGTTTCCTGATAATAAGCTGTCATGAATCGTTGGCGATTCTTATCAAACATACGCTCAGCAACAATTCCGATTTGTTTCCGATCGCTAGGACTTCGGAAAAGAGCCATGTACTGTGCATTCCGACTGATATCGGTGTTAAATTTTCCCTTGGGGAACATATTCTGAAGGAGCAGTATGACGCTGGCATTTCTACGGCGACCTTGGGTAAACAACCGAGAAACGATGGGGCTTTCGATCGCTTCTGCCATTAGATCATCAAAGATGATAACGTTGTTGTATTTTGGGTCAATTTCTCGCAGATCATCTTGAAATGTGGGAAGGCCACGAAAAAATTTAATGTCCTTTCCGATCGCTGATTTCAAAGCTTCGTATCTATCTTGCCACTGACTGTAATACCATAAAATGCGACGGGGCTTGTTGGTTTCGTAGACAATACGATCTCTCGTTAGAATCTGTTCGACGAAAACTGTTTTCCCTGATTGACTAGGGCCAACCACAAGGAGTGAGAACTTATGGCGAAACATAAAATCTGGATAAGGCTCGGTTGCCAAGGAAACATCATGGGAAAGCTTTACCTTCTTTGCAGTAGAAGAAGTTTTCGGCGTTTCGTTTACTGGTCTTACTGGTCTTCTTTTTCTTGGTTCACATATTTTTCTCGTGGAACTAGATGAACAACGAGGTAAGTCGACGCTTGTAGAAATATATTCTCTTTTTGATTCCCAAGAAACCTTAGCCTCTGTTAAGAGTCGTGTTCGTCTTAGCCCGGTTAAGTCATGGACAATTTCAAGATGAGAACTCAAGTTGGACACACCAGGTTTGCCACATAGCGGACAAATTCGAGGAAACGTTCGAGGCATGACTGCTTATGAAAAATGACTCACAGTTAACGGAATCATTTAATATATAGTTATTTTACAATGGTGGGGAGTACTTAAGAGAATTCAGGGGTACAGGAGGGGTACAGGAAGGGTACAGTAGGGGTACAGGAGGGGTACAGTAGGGGTACAGGAAGGGTACAGTAGGGGTACAGTAGGGGTACAGGAGGGGTACAGGAGGGGTACAGGAGGGGTACAGGAGGGGTACAGGAGGGGTACAGGAGGGGTACAGGAGGGGTACAGTAGGGGTACAGTAGGGGTACAGGAGGGGTACAGTAGGGGTACAGGAAGGGTACAGGAGGGGTACAGTAGGGGTACAGGAAGGGTACAGGAGGGGTACAGGAGGGGTACAGTAGGGGTACAGGAGGGGTACAGTAGGGGTACAGGAAGGGTACAGGAGGGGTACAGTAGGGGTACAGGAGGGGTACAGTAGGGGTACAGGAAGGGTACAGGAGGGGTACAGTAGGGGTACAGGAAGGGTACAGGAGGGGTACAGGAGGGGTACAATGAAAGTTCATAGAGTTCCGTTGTGCTTTGCAGCCGTGCCTCCATCGATAGCTATAAAAGAAGTAAGCCGCTGTTTCTGATTCAGTCAGTTCTTAAACCTCGTGCAGTTCGGATCACAATGTTCAGCAATTATAATCATCTCGTTCAAAAAGGATATGGAAATTTTGAAGATGATGACGACGATATTGAAAGCTCACAAGAAAGCGAACAATCATCTCAAAGTTCTCAATCTAGCGAAGAAATGGACTCTTCCGGAGAGGAGGAGGAGGAGCATGTAGATCCTTGGTCACGCATTCAAAATGAAGTTTGTAATCGCCACGAAGCCCAGCTCGAAGCTCTGATCAACGAGTATGAACAAAACGGAGACTCGCCTGAAGTGGCCCGCATTAAAGCTGAAAATGCTTTGCTTCCAGTATATAGAAAGGAATTGAGAAAAGTGTTCTTAGAGTTTTTACAGTGGATGCATGCAATGAAGAAAGATCCGACATTCCGAAAAGTGATGGAAACCCGCCAAGATCTCAAAGACACGGAAGGATATGACTGGCTGGAATCGACAGAACTTGCCATCGATAAGCGGAAATTCTTACTCAATCGATTGTTTGTCAAACAAACTGTTCCCGAAGACTAAGCTGGAACTCTGTCTATTCATCTATTGTTGTAACACTTTGATGGTTTTGTTATCAATAAATGTATTTTTTTTAACCGAAACAAAGGTGTAGTCTGGTTGGAGCAAGCGCGTATTAATCCCACCATTGTTTATATATAATTGAGTTGATTCCCGTGGATAATTTATGCGACAAGCGTTCATGTTGGCTCAGTGTATATTAAATTAGTTTGCGATGAATAATAAAATACAGTTCGCTTGCGTTCGTTTTGTTTCGTATGATACAGGTCTAAAAGGAAAAAGGCCAACCTGTTAATGGTTAACGCTCGATACCACAGTCTAGAAACGTTTGAAGGTTGAATTATATTGACAAAACAGAATCAATGGTTTTGTAGAATAAAAATATTTATCTTTGGTCACAGTGAATAGTTCTAAGTCGAGTACTGTTTTCGGACCGTTGACTAGTATGTTTGGAAGCTATCCGCTCAAATATATTATTTACTGGAGTTTGTGACAATAATAAAATGCTGAACGGAGAGCCCGCTTTTATGTTAAACACATAATAGATTGTTTACTATCCAATCAGGGTTAAAAGAGCCCGGGCAAGTCTAGACAAGCCTATTGTTCCTATATGTAGTAGAGTGACGCTCATTAATAAACCTATCCACTTCATTATATATGGAGGAAGACACTTCTTTCCGAGGTGACGTCATAGGCTTACGCATATTAATAAAGGGAAGACAGGGGAAGACAGGGGAAGACACCAACGGGGTTAATTTCCAACATAGTAGACTACTAGTTTTATTAACTCTCCCCAAGGGGTTTTCGGAGTTATATTACAATTAATGAAGAAAAAAAGGAAAGTAAAAATAATATACACTTAAAGTCAGATCCCGAGGGAAAACAAAACTAACTGGTTTCCTGAGGGATGTGACATTAAGTGTTTTGTTATATTTCTAAACTTTTACTTCATCAGCAACAAAATACTGGAGCAAACGAAGACAATTGACTCGGTACTTATAACAACACCTCAACACAAATATAATTCTCAAAACCACTGAATGAATGATTCCCAAAGTACTTTCCATATATTATCTGCATCTTTTTCCTCCACTAGCTGCTGTTTCTCTTCTGGGATAACTTTAAAAATCATTACTTTTTAGTTTGAGGCTTCGTGTTTGTGTTGTTGTGTTCATTCATGAAAAAGAAAACTGCTTAACAAATAGATTCCATGTTGCCGTGCGTCTGTTCAGTAATAGATCACAGATGAGGTCAAAATGTGGTAAAAACAAAGAAGTGGCACACGAGCCGCAGGCGAGTGTGTCATTGATGTTTTTATCACATTTTGACCTCATCTGTGATCTATTTCTGAACAGGCCCACGGCAACATGGAGTCTATTTGTTTTATGCAATGATCAGAAAAGAAAAAAGACCGATACACATACCTGCCTCGTACCGCTTGACTGTTCGAAGATCAGTACTAGTTTATGCATTTTTTAAAGTCCCAAACGCTATATTTCGTCTCTGCTTGTATACAGATTCTTCGAAAAGTTTTTCAATGTCTTTTCTTGCTCAAAGCAGAATAATGGCAAAAACATATAGCAAAACAGCGAGTCTCTCGTAGCGATGACACACGATGGCAACTGTTGTGAAGATTTCTTGTAGTTTAGGTGTTCTTAAGTTGTAAAGAGCTCTTTTGCTCTCCTTTTCTCCATTTTTCTGCTTTGTAAATAGCTCTGGCAAAGTTTTTTCGAGGCTTTCACGTGCCTTAATCCGAAATAATCTCAAAAACGTTTTCAAAACCGCACGCCATGTTGAACAAAACAAAGAAAGCAAGTCTCCCATGACATCATCCATGTATCTGTACTCCAAAAGGTCATGGACAACGACCAATCACAGCGCTAGTAGCATTCACATCATTGTATAACATTATTTTTCCCGCCTTCTGTCATGCCAGTTTCCACTATGCTTTGATCACCTGCAGTAATGTATCCTGAGCTGGGTATGTTGCTTAATGTATCACAATCTGGTCATGGCCACGTGATCAGGAATCGACCATTAGCAGTCCCTGTTTAGTTGAGTGAAAGTCTAGGAATATAAAAATTTATTATGTACATACTGAGAAATACTCACCAAAAAGCTATGTCGTAAGTTTTCTCACGCAAATTAGTTCTAGCCAATCAAAATCGCGAATGATGTTTTTTCATGTGTGAGAAAAATGATACGGCCAATCAGAAGCCACAGAGGTGTGTGGGTTTCGCGCCAAAATTCCCACCTTTTATTGCAGCTTGCAGCGCCGCTTCGCACACATTCAACGAGAAAAGTTTTACTCAAAGAGTTTTTCTCGCTAAAAAAGTGGAAAACATTTCGGAAATGGAGTGGAATAGTTTCGTTTCTTTCACTGTCGAATGTCGATAAAGAAAACGGTAGAGAGCCGGTGAAACAACAGCAGAAAGGGATAAACAGAACGAGACGTAAGCTTTTGTTGTGCTTTTTGTCGAAGCTACTTTGCCTTTCATTTAAGCTTAAGCTTTTATTGAAATCGGCCATTTTACTTAAATTCACTCATTTTCAATTGTGCATTGAGAAAAAACAGTTAAGATTACTTATAGTTCTTGGATTACCTCATATCCTTTCCGTCATTTATGTTTTTAACAAACCTTTTTACTAAAAAGCTGATACTTCGTTTTTGTTGTCATTTTGCGGTAAGTGTGTAGCGGCGAATTTTAGCATTTTTGAAAGATTTAAAATAAAAAGGCCTCCAAAATAATGAATGTCTCAGTATGTATATAATAAACACAATACCACATGGAAAGTGCTTTGTACGGTACTTACGCACTTGTTTTTGTATCAGAAATCTTACTCGTTCACTGCGCTCACTCGTTCGATTTCTGACACGTCAACAACTCGTGCATAAATACCGTATGCTAGCACTTTCCATGAAGTATTCTCTATTTACAATTTAATATTACAGGCAAATGTGTTAAGGTGGCTCCGTAATTAATACAAGAGCATTTAGCTGTGACAAATTTTCCGTCATAACCTTTTCGACTTCAACGCGATGGCTGCGAAACTTTGGAAAGAACAACAGATATCATTCGGCAATAATAGGAAATATTCCGATTTCACTGATGGTAAATATTTCTTGAGAAATTAGCGCTTACAAGGACCCTAATGTTCAAAGAAAATCGCGTCTAGTAAAATATTTTGCTGATATTTTTTGCTGAAATTTCTGGTATCGGCTTTAATTAATGTAATAAATATGCCAGAGGAATTTCAGAAAAATCGTTGGAGCAGAAGTCCGTAACTAAAAGTCGCTCAAAATTCAGCTGTGAAATTGTTTTGGAATGTCAAAAATAAATTACTATCAGGAAGAAGGAGACACCAGTTTCAATTTTCGGGACAAGTAAAATCAGTGTTTGCTAATTCTGAAAACAGAAGCCGATTGCCTATCGTGCTATTCTTTAAAAGGTACTTTTCAGTTTTAGAAGCACTATAAATTGCTCCAAACTTTGCTCTGACGTCGAATGACTTGTTCCTCGACATTTTTAAAATATCCCTTGGCAGTTTTGGTTCAAACTCCTGCTACATACATTTTGATGTATTGCAATGCATCCTCAACGGCTTTTCCTGCTGTATGTTGTTTCCAATTCGGGAAAAAGGTATTGGGATTGTAAGCTACCTTGTATCGAAGCTCAGATAGAACTGTTCAGCACCTTTGTTTATGACCAGAAAATGAGTACGAGCGGTAGCTCTGCGAGGAATTCGCACCTCAGCCAGGGGGGACGAATGACAATGATGCCCATGTCTGTGAACCGATCTGTATAAACATGTATTGCAGAGCAAAACATAATAATCAAGAAAAAAATACCCATTCATTGAAGAAAGGAGTAACAAAAATTTCAGAGTTGTAAATTTATTTACGGGCAGTGTTTTTGCGATAATTTTATTTTGCACTGTGATGTTATTCGGTTCACAGGCATGGTCATCATTGTCGTTTGTCCCCCCTGGGTGAGGTGCGAATTCCTCGCAGAACTGCCGCTCGTGCTCATTTTGTAGTCATAAACAAAGGTGCTGGACCGTTCTATCTGAGCTCTGATACGAGGTAGCGTCCAATCTCAATACTTTTTTTCTGAGTTGGAAGCAACGAACAGCAGTAAAAGTCGCTGAAAATGCATTGCAATACATCAAAATGTATGCAGCAGGAGTTTGAGCCAAAACTGCCAAGGGATATTTTAAAACTGTCGAAGAACAAGTAACTCTACTTCAGAGCAAGGTTTGGAGCAATTTATAGTGCTTCTAAAACTAAAAAGTATCTTTCAAAGAATAGCACGATAGGCAATCGGCTTTTGTTTTAAGAATTAGCAAACGTTGAATTTACTTGTCCCGAAGATTCAAACTGGTGGCTCCTTCTACCTGATAGTAATTTATTTTTGAAATTCCAAAACAATTTCACAGCTGAATTTTGAGTGACTTTTAGTTACGGACTTCTACTCCAACGATTTTTCTGAAATTCCTCTGGCATATTTATTATATCAATTAAAGCCGATACCAGAAATTTCAGTAAAAAATATCACCAAAATTTTTTACTAAACGCGATTTTCTTTGAACATTAGGGTCCTTGTAAGCGCTAATTTCTCAAGAAATATTTACCATCAATGAAATCGGAATATTTCGTATTATTGCCGAATGATATCTGTTTTTCTTTCCAAAGTTTCGCGGCCATCGCGTTAAAGTCGAAAAAGTTATGACGGAAATTTGTCACCGCTAAATGCTCTTGTATTAATTACGGAGCCACCTTAAGCTAAAAGATAGTAATATATATATGTACATACGTATTGTACAACACCGTCCAAAATTATGTTAGAAAAAAATCAAAATTAGGCTCATAGTCTGGTACACAATTCGCGTTTAACATTGCACTTAAAACAGATTGATGTTCGACTGTTCCTAGTGTTTGCACTGAGAGAACTCCATATGTTGACTGAGTGAAATTGAAGAGATTGTTGAGCGGTGGTTGTTTG